TACACACACACAACACACACACATATATATGTACACATACATACAAAATACAAAACACACACACACACACACACACACACACACACACATATTTATTTGTTAGAGCTCACCATTGGTGATGATGGCGCTGGTGGCTGATGGGACTTTGAACTGCACACAGGATTGTGACGTGAGGACACATTTTCAACAAAGTGAACCTGATTATAACTTGGAATCAGCTCCAGAGCCACCCACAATAAGTAAAAAATAAATACACAAGTGACATGCACTGTATTAAATACTTTTACTTTTGCAACATATGAATGGGGATGGTGCCTTTGGAAATTTGGCTTCTGCCAAGATGTTCCTTTGTTGTTAATATGCAAAAAAACACGTGAAAAATGATTCCGCTCGTGTTGTATGACTTTTAGTGGGAATTAAAGTTGCTAGTTGCTTTTATTTTTTAAGTTGGTAGAGTGGCTAAAAAGCCTGATTGGCCTTGTTCACGAAGCAGTCGTCTTACCTCCTCGGCGGCGAACTTCAAAACTGCTGTGAACGGCGTGCTCTCTGGAACACTTAATCTATTTTTTTTTAAAAAAAAGTACCATATTACAATACTGCAAAAGCCATATTGACTTATTCAAGTTGTATTTGCGTGTACTTTATTATGGAACGTTGGCTCGATACTTTGAAAAACAAATGTCATTCATTGTGTCAAGAGTGCCTACCCACACCTCAAATTGATGTTTTCTGTGCAGTAATTAGGCGAGTATCCGTGCTTCTACCCAAGTACGTTTGCCAACTTTAGTCACTAGCATATGCTAGCACGAAACGCCGTGCTGTAAGCGACGAGCTGCTCATGCGTAAACTTAAACAACGTCGGCGAAGTACAGCGAAGAAAATGAGACAATTTGTAATAAAAATGGTTTAAAAAACACATTTCAGATCGATTTTAACAACTGACATGTCAGTAAGTGTTGGGAAGTACTCACACTTTGAAAGGGAGCCGTGGGTCCGACGTTAGCGTAATTTTAAACGTTACTTTAGACCTAGACAAACGAACAAGAATGGCACGGTTGTCCTCCCAGTTTTTAACGGGCATTTTGTTCAATGTTTATTCGGTATGTCACAGGTAAATGAGTAAAAAAACTTACATTTTTCAAGCGAGGCGACTCAACTTGTCATCTGTTTACGCACACCAGGAAGTCCAGAAGGACCCCGACAAACACGTCATCGATTTAGTTCGAATTTGACACATAAATATGCGCCTCTGTTGTTTCATAATTAATTTTAACGAATATAATAAAATGTATTCATTACACATGTCGACTGGGTAAAAACCGCAGGTGATTAATAAGTTCCTTTTAAACAGGCATTCTCCTCGTCCTACTAATATTGACTATAAATGGCAACAGTGATGCCAAACAAGCGGATTTTTTTTTCCCCAAGCCGCTGGGTATTTAATATTTGTCAACTGTGGGTAGCTATTAAATCATGTCCTCCATCTCTGATCGGTTGTTTTTCCACAAGTGTGGTGGTTTCTTGTATATCAAATTAGAGACAGGATGGGGGCATAGGCTGCTGTTTTCTTCACATTTCATATTTATCATGTACTTCTGTCTTGGCATGATGACTTGAAAGCAAACGTGACGAGGCAGCCTTTAACTGTTATGCTGCACGCAAGTGGAATAAACTGCCAGTAAAAGTGAAGTCGCATTTAAACCCAGGGTGAATGCTTTTAAACTTGGCTGCAAACGATATACTGTAAATATAAATAAAGCAACTGTATCTATATAAATAAAGCTGCCATGACTTTCCTTTTACTAAATGAGGAAAAAAGTGCTTTTACTAAAATACTCTTAAAATCACGAATTGTAAGACTATACCCATTCTTTTTTGACAGCTTTTGCAATTTCTTTTCAATAATCTCCAGATTATTTCCTCTCTTTTCAATTACTTCATCGGCAGCACACACTCATCTGTCATTTTCCATCTTGTTCTCCAGGGCGCAAAAACTTTTCTTTATATTAGGAATTTAAGTTTTCCTTCCCTGCAGGATTTTTTTTTTTATCCCATCAGTAAATTTGACCTCTAATTCCTTGACACAAATTGCTATTCTTCCTAAATCGTCAATACCTGACACCTGAAGTGTGAGTCATGTGCGTGACTGAAGTCCAATTTGGGTTAATGTGACAATGTTGTCAAACTAGTGATCTATGATCCTAAAACCTCTTTCATGTTTTAAATAAATAAATGATTGAAAAATTACAAATAATCTCCTCGCACCTGACGTGCACGAAGGGGAGTGTCGTCAAGTGGGTTGACAGAAATGCAAGTCTTGGCATATCCAAAAAAAAAAAAAACAACAATCAAATTAAAAAAACGCCCTGAAGGCCTCAGCGAGTGCCAGCATTATCTCCCGTCCAAGCAAACTACTTTGTGCTTTTATCCAGTGTACTGTCGGATAGCTCACACAGCCATGCAGCACTATGATAGCAGCGTGGCCTTTCTGGGAACGTGGGGTCGCTTCCAGCTGATCGTTTTTTTCCTGCTCTGCTCCACCATCTTGCCCAACGGGAGTGGCTCCTTCTCGCTGGTGTTTGTCACCGACACACCCCAGCATCGATGCCGGATCCCTAAGGCCAACCTCAGCCAGGAGTGGTGGGAGGTCGCAGTTCCACTGGAGGTACGCTGCTCTTCTGGTTTTCTACCTGGGGGCAACCCCCCCCCCCGAAAAAAAAAATAATAATAAAATAACTGAAGCTAAAAAAAAGGCCTCACAGTTGGAATATTCGTCTCTCAACATTTGAATAGAAATGAAATGAATGCTCATTTCTCAGCAGACAACATTCCGAGAACATTTGTGTTTTATGAATACTTTGTCTCAGAATGCATACAAGATACATGAATATTAATCTCTCAGCATTCCTATGAAAACCGAAGGAATATTTATGTCTTAGCAAACAGTAACCGAAATCTACCCGTATGGTGGCTCGTTGCAATTTTGCACAACCCTGTGGAACGGCCTTACCACTATAATCATTGTAGCTCCAGCTCTGTACTTATTTGAACCACTGTCACTGATCTATATTCCGCAGCACCAGACACTTTAAAGCGCTCAAGGACATCTACACACTTGTTGTACCACAAATACTGCTACTGGTAACTTTAAAATGGTGCAATGATTTTCTGCACCAGCTGCACAACTGTTATGGCATTGTATTCGACCACTGATCACTTTAGCTCTGCTTGATATTTTGCACATTGTCTCACAGCTGTCATTGGGTGGTACCACCGCACAACGGTACCCTTACATTACGGAGTGTCCTTCCATACTTATTTGCCATGTCCTTGTTTATGATGATACTAGTGCAGCCTGTACTACCGGAGACAAATTCCTTGTGTGTTCTACATACTTGGCCAATAAAGATGATTCAGATTCTGATTTACACAAAAAGGAATGCAAGTTTTTGGCACATTGCTATGGTATGAATGTTCTCACAACATTCACGTAACACTACCCTTTGATTTCAGAGAGTACGGAAAACGTGTTGTGGATGAATCTCTCAGAATTTACAAAAATATAAGTAGACATATCACTCACTTCTCAGCACTCATACACGAAAAAAAAAATGTCTCGTCTTCATGTGTGTACCTCTTGAGGTGGTGGACGGGGAGCTGCAGGCAAGCCGCTGTCGTCGCTACAGGTTGGACGTGCTTCGCAACCTTTCAGCCGGGGGGCTGCTGCCGGGCCGAGACGTCAACCTGAGCAGTCTGGAACAGGAGGACTGCGTCGATGGCTGGGTCTATGGCACCGAGATCTATCAGTCCACCGTGGTCTCCCAGGTCAATACCATTTGCATAAAGGGAGTATTGTATTCTTCAGATTAAATTTGATTAAGATTATTTGGGGAACTTTAGTAGTTCATCGTGGTCTGTAGAGAGATAGAAAGAAAGAGAGTTGACATTGTACTTTGTAAAAGCATGAATGTAATCAAACATTTACCATTGAAAATTGGATTTTTAAGATTTAAAAAAAAATAATTTTCAGGCCATATTGTCGAGTTTTACACTCCCCCATCAAAGTGGGGGGGGGGGGGGGAGCTTAGCTCCTGATGCCTTGAAGTTGGCAAAAGTGACACTGTCATTCATGCACTTCCAGTTCGACTTGGTGTGCACTCAGCGTTGGAAGCAACCCTTGACTGCCACCATTTTTTTCTTGGGGGTCCTGGTGGGATCCTTTTTCTCCGGAGTGCTTGCTGACAGGTACCTGCTGGGGGATCAAGAATTCACAGGAACTAGGTACAAGGTGACTGTTTGCGATTGAGGTTTTGTTTTTTTCTTGGTTGATTTTTTCTTTTCAAGGTTTGGCCGAAAACCGGTGCTGTTCGCCACCATCATAATTCAGGCTGTGTTCTCAGTGGCACAGATTGCAGCTCCGTCCTGGGAGGTGTTCTCTGTGCTTCTCTTCTGCAGCGGCCTAGGCAATATCTCCAACTACGTGTCCTGCTACGTGCTGGGTATGCTTTCTTTATGGTGCAACATGAAGACTTTGACACAAGCAGAGCTCTTTTGAAGTCTATTCTCTGAGCGACAGGAATTCAGTGACAGTCAGAGACCTGAGCATTCTGAATGTACTGCACCTGTATTTGAGCTTGTTTAGAGAGCCAAATGAGCAGACTATTACAGTCGTCTAACCTGCTGAAGGCATACATATGGATTAGTCTTTTCGTCTTGTTTAGATTCCTTTGTTGATTTGTTCTCCCCAGGTTTCTCAAGTTCGAAATCCAAAAGGCGAAAAACACAATTTCTCTCCTGCTTGACACGACAGGAAATTAAAAAAAAAAGTTGTTTTTGTTGGAACAGGAACAGAAATCCTCACAGGCAACACTCGGGTGGTTTACTCGTCGACGGGCGTGTGTCTGGGCTACACTTTGGGCTACATGACGCTGCCCCTCTTCGCCTACTTCCTCCGGAGCTGGAAGACGCTGCTGCTAGCTGTTGGGCTTCCCGGCCTCTTCTACATCCCCCTGTGGTGGTAGGCACAAGGATATTACATGGACAATAGTGACTTGCTGTCTTGTTATTTTCGACGCCGAGATGGCAAATGGGCTGATGATTTGGAAACCCATCGCATTTATCACTGTCTTTAATATTCAGCTTAAAGTCCACGTACTGGTATGCTCTTTGTCGTCACAAGAGCACGAGAGAGACATTTAGAGCGAAACAAGACAATTTTGACATGAGTGAAAACAATTCCCAATAGTAAAATAAATACTAAAGTAACGTTTTTGACAGGATCCTCCCAGAGTCTCCCATGTGGCTGCTGTCTCAAGGCCGAGTGACAGAAGCCGAGGCCATCGTGAGAAAAGCCGCCAAGATGAACAGAGTGGTCGCACCAGAGAAGATCTTTGCCGATTCCAAGTGGCATGCAAGTTCAGCCTTTGTGTCAATTCGCTTGCTGGACACTTCATTAGCGACACCAACTTGAAAGTTGTCCATGTTCAAAAGAATGAGCTGAGCAGTTGAAAGTAGGTGGGGGAGTCGCCTGTGGGTAATCAGGCGCTAGTAGCTACAAAGAAACGAAGTAGGAGAGAAATTAAGAACCCCAATAAGAAAAATGTTGCGTTGTTGAATGATGCTAGCTGCTGGGTGAGTCGCTAGCAGTTAAAATGGTCTCCAATGAAGGCCTTCATTTTAGAAAATGTCGTGGCCGTATAGTACAAGCTCGTTAGCGTGTGGGGAAACCGATGCTAACCATTGTGTGTTGTAGGCAGATGAGGGGAGGCCAGTGGAGCGCTACACTGTTCTGGACCTGATGAAGAAAAGAAGCATCGCCCTGATGACGGTCCTCTTGTGCTGGGTGTGGTAAGTTCACACCCATCAGAAAAGAAGAGCCAGCGCACCCACACGTTCACAGCACCTCTCTCGTCGGCAGGTTCACGCTGAGCGTCTGCTACTACGGCTTGTCCCTGAACACATCACAGCTCCACTCGAATCCGTACATCAGCTGCTTTCTGTCCGCTGTGGTGGAGGTGCCGGCGTACCTGAGCTGCAGTCTGGCCATCCGATTCCTGCCGCGACGCCTTGCTCTGGTGGCCGTCTTCCTCACAGTGGGCCTGGCGCTTTTCTTCATTCAGCTGGTGCCTCAGAGTGAGCGTCCACACCAAAGCCCAATAGTTGTGCTCAAAACCAGAAGGGGGAAAGGGGCCTAACTGAAAAGCAGCAGGGCTCCCTCGATCATCTTCGTTCAAAACCAAAAGGGCTCGGTCAGCCATTTGGTGCCGGGGCGTCGCTCAAAAGTTAGTGCACCTTCAGCCCCCTAGCGTTGGTCTCCCCCAGCCATTTTCCAGCATGGCTCTTTTTCGCTACCAATATTGCTCCGCCAACTGTCTGAGTTCAAAACAAGGAGAATCTATCCTTTTGTCCTATTCCGTCTTTGGTCATCTTGTGCTGGGGTGTAGTTAAAATCCAGACGGGCTCCTTCAGCTATCCTGTGTAGGGTCTGGATAAAAACAACTCCCAGTTTTATCTTGTGCTCTCTCAGGCATTTTGCGCCAAGTTATACTTCCAAAGCAACACAGTTCTTGCTTGGCCTGTTATCGTTGGCCTTTATTCTCAAGGCATCCTGGGTCTGGCCGTGGCCTTGGAGATGTTGGGTAAGTTTGGCGCCACGGCAGGAACGTCGCTGCTGTTCGCCTTCACGGCCGAGTTGTACCCGACGGGCCTGAGGAACACGGGGTCCGGAATCTGCGTCATGGTGTCACGAACGGGAAGCTGCATCGCGCCCTTTCTTATACAGCTGAGTAAGCACTTTTTGGAGAAGGGGGTTTCAACATTTAATGTGACTTTAGTGTTTTTAATACGAATTTGTAACCCCTTTCATGTCGGTATGGCACAGACATCTACTTCAAGTATTTGCCTTATATCACCTTGGGCACTCTGGCCATGCTCTCCATCGTGACGATGCTCTTCCTGCCGGAGAGTTTTAGGCGACCGCTTCCTGAGACCCTTGAACAGATGCAGAAGAGGCAAAGGTGGGTCTTATTTGCTACCGAAAAGGGTCAAATCAATACGATGGACCAATGTCAGTTAAAATGTTTTCAAGGAACCGTCACAATTAAAATCTTTCAATTGGATCCATTCATACTTTCAAGGCTTATGGTTTATTTGGGTGAACAGTGGTGTTTCCTCCACACAGGATACATAAATCCACCTCTTTAATATCAGACTGATTTATTGACTCAACTGTGGATAACAAAAGGAAAAAGTGGAGGATTATGACAGTAGAACAAGCGAGAGATAATGATCACAGATTCTGAAGGATAAATTGTAAACAAAAAGATACTGTCATGGACATTCCGTTGACTGCTCAGATTGTGAGAGTTAATTCCCCACTAACCTGAAATGTATCCCTCTCCAGTCACTAACGCGTCCAACTTTTTATTCGAATAATGCAATGTGAACTGACTCAGAGGATACTGTACCTTGGCACAACTGAGCGCCTCGTCGTTCTCTTCTGCGTCCTTCGTCCGCCTTCCTCTAACGAACCTTCGTGTTGATTTCCGTGCATGCAGCTTGACCTGTTTGTCAAGAGGAAAGACCTTCAAATCCACGGTCATCGAAAGCCCACTGTGAACCTCACTGGATTTTTCCAACCAATTGTAGCATTGCATTGTGTGATACGTCATGACGACTCGTACACGGTATGCATTTATTTGTTTTATTTCTGCATTCATGAAAAAATAAAAGATGAGGAAAAGCATGTTTTATTTTTTTTTTTTTGTAAAAATAAATAAAAATCACGTTTGAAAAAAATTTGCAAATTCATTCATTTATAATTTGATATGTCACCGGGTGTCCAGGGACTTCCTTTCGGAGAGGATAAGAGAGTGGCAGCCAAAAAAAAAAAAATAAAGGTAACTTTGGCAATATGGCTCGAGAGCTCCATTTTTAAAATCAAGCTCACTGTTCACGTTAAGCAGTGGTGAAAATGGATGGATGGACTTGTAAACAATTAGAACAATGAGAATTTAATGAGAATGTTATCAAATAAGCTATTGTACACAGACATTTAAACAAATCATTTTTTAAAAATATTTATGACTTGGTCAATTATTATAATTGAATAATTCTTCACAAAAATGTGTACAGTATCTTGCTTTACCGGGGAAGTGCTGCATGTGAGCAACGGTTTCCGGCAGGGGGCATTCCTTGGCTCCTGGGTCGCACGAGGCTGAGCAACGCCATGGTGGTGGGCAGGCCGGCCTGCAGGGCGGAAGGCGGGGACACCCAATCCCTTCCTGTAGCACTTAAGCAGAGCCGAGGTGAAAAGTGAGGCGACAGATGACCCGACAAGGCAAAAAAAAGCGCAGAAAGAGACTCATGATTTGGGTAGAAAAATTAGATGACGGCATGTTTTAATGTCTTTTATTCTTCAATAAATGTACACATAAACATACAAGTTGTTAGCAAATGAAAAATTAACGCATGATACAATAATTATAATCAGAAAATTCATTGATATAATTTGCCAGGAAAATCCACAGCAGTCGAGATATTCACAATCGGCTTTCGGAGACGCTCGTGGAATTGAAGGTTTCTCGTCTGCAATCGCATAGATGGGTCACTCTGCAGGGAGGGAAAGTGACAGTTTGTTAGTGGAAGAACTCAATCAACTCAGCTGTATTGATACGGCATTTTTTAAAACAACCGCCGCCGAATACAAAAAGCTGTACATGGAGCAAAAATAGTCAAACTAAACTCAAGTCTCATGAGTTAAGATCCAAAGAATAAAAATGAGTTTGCTGTTGAGTAAGGAGAGGCTTTACCGCCGCCAGCTGCACAAGATGAAAAAAAAAGTTGCATTTAACGACCTCACCACATTCCAAAAACATGAATGGAAGTTTTATTGCTCACTCTGAATTCTCCCAAGGCATGATTGTGAAAGGTTGTTTGTCAATGTGTGCGCGCGCGCGCGCGCGCGCACACACACACACATACACACACACCCACACACACACACACACACACACACT